AGGTGCTGGCATGTCTTAAACACATTGTCTAATACTTGATAATTTACCTATGTTACTAACAAGTGAGCAGACTTTCAGCTCAGGTCTTTGACAAGAGGACTTCTCAGTGACACGATTTCATTCTCATTGTACTCATTTTCATGTTTGCTTTCAATTTATGGCAAAGCACCCTGGCTTGTGGCACTGACTTGATGGTTCCACTTACAATACATTTGTTGAAGGGGGGCAGAAGGGAATCATTAAAAGGTATTAAACAGGTGGCACAAAGATTTGACAAATGAAATTGTGTGTGAATGACTGATGTGTGCAGTAGCTGTTCCATGCCCAGAAGCCCGAGTGACGCAGTGGCACATCGTGTGGCGTCTTCCACTGATTTCTGTTTCTCACCCTCCTGGTTACAGCAAAGGACAGGATGACCAGGCAGCCTTGATTGCCCTGAGCTCCAGCCAACACCACCCCCCACCCCCCACACACACAGCACTAGTAGAGTCAACTCCCACTTCTCAAGCAAGATCAACCAGGCAGTGATGCCAATGACTGGAACAGGCAGCATGGATCCCCAAATGCAAGATGTACCCCTTATCCCATCCTAAATATGGCCTGTAGTGGAGCAACAGTTATCCGAACTCAGAAGTGCCTGTGTATCAACCCCTTTACCACTTAGGCGTAAGTCAGGTAGTCCCTAATCCCTCTTTACCTTGTTCTTGGTCTACGTTAGTGGTTTTCAATGGGGGCATTTTGCCACCCAGGGGACATTTATCAATGTCTAGAGCCGTTTTTGGTTGTCACGACTGAGGGATGCTGCTGGCATCCAGTGAGGAGAAACCAGAGGTGCTGCTGAACACCCTGCATGCATAGGACAGCCCCCAATAAAGAATGATCTGGCAATATCAATATTGCTGATGTCAGCTGAGCTGATAATAGAGAGCCCCTGTTTTCTGTTAGAAGCTCCTAGCAGATCCTTCCCCAGATTTTTCTTCAGGATGGAGCTACTAGGTCCCACGTGGTCAAGCCTCTTGGTTACTGCACTTTATGGTTCTGTACGTGCATTTTCTTGTCATTGTGTGTTTGACATTGCTGTAGCCACTGCTGAGGGCAGGGTCATACCCCACCGATCACCTCATTTTCACAGACAAAAAAATAAATAAACATTTGCAGGTTTTTACTCCTAATTTTGTGTCCCTCTCTGCCAAGTGCTTCTGATCCGTTTCTCTCAGGGCTTTGGTTTCCTAATTTTCGTTTTTGCTCCCTGCCACGGACACCTACTGCTCCTCCCAACTACCCCTTTCTTTCTTGATTGTTCCTCCAGTATGGCTCGTTTCACCATTATATTATTCCTGAACCTATTCACGTAGGTAGGTCTTGCTGAACCAAAATGTAAACACCTCCAAGAAAATGCCCGTCTTCACCTTTGCTTACATCCACTCTAGCAGGTATTGTGAGCTGCCTTATGTTAGTCTGACAAGTGCCATATTCTTTTAATCATAATATGTACTTACAAATGTAAAATATAATATTGATAACTGCTTTTGCAGTGGTGGAGAGAAGAGAAGAGTACCTTAAATAGACACGTTGAGTCTAAGATACACCCTGCTTTAGCAATGCTCAAATATTCTAAACACCCACATGTACACACCCACACACAAGCCCAAAATACACCTTGAAAGTGAGGAACTGTGGACCTAGCTGACTTTTCTAATCTCTTTAATTTACTAATTAATACTGCCCACCATGAGATCATTTATTTCGGTCTCATGATTTCAATCCCATCCATATTTTTCCAATGAAATATATTGGGCTGAAATGTCATTGGCCAAGAGAGGGAACAGTTTGGGGCTTTCAGTGCCTGGGAACTATTGCATTCACGTGACTTCTGAATGGTGGAGCCCATCATTGCAGAACACTCTGTCTGGGCCCATGTGCTCCAGGCACATGGCTGCCCTCTTCCCACCCTCTCTCCCCTCTGTGTTGGAGCCCCATCTGTCCCTCCTCAAGGCGTTTAGTGTGTGGTTCTTCCTGCTTTGTCTCCCTGAGCTCTTCCCCTCCCCAGTGAATCCTCAATTTCAATAAGACTTGCTCAAGGAAGCTTGACAAGTTCCCAGTGACACCTTTCCTAGCACAGCCTGCTCTTTCACTATCCATCCTGCAGTTATTTATTGAGCACCAAATACAGGCCAGGTCCTCTAGGCACTGGTGGAAAAGCTGTGAATGAATCAGAAAGAAAAGATGTCTTGTCTGCATGGAGCTTACCTCCTAGTGGAATCACGGAAGTGTTCATTAAGTGAAGATTTACTTTGTGCATGCCATGTATCCTATCTAATTGAGGTGACAGTTACTGTCCTTCTAGTTATTGGAAATGCAGGCTTAGGTTAAATAACATGGACCACATTGTAAAGCTGGTAAGGAACAATCTCAGCCAGGCTATCTGAAGCCAAGTCTTGTTTCTTATTCCAGTCTGCTTGATACGTATTTGTTGGGTGCATGAATTAAAGAATTTCCCAGTACTTCCTGAGCTCTTGATTTCTACCCAGTCGTGTAATCCATGATATGTCATTCAGGCAAAATAATTATTGGGAAATCCAGGAGTATAACTACACCTGAATGGCCACAATGTTTCTATATCTGAATCTTTTTCTGACAAAGGACATCGGAGAGGCTCAACTAAAAGTCATTATTTTACCTCTCTAGGTTTTCATCTCTGGTTTCTGTCAGTGTTTAAGGCCATAAAGAAAGAGGACTGGGGCATTTGGGAGCACTTTGGATGCTGGAAAAGCATCCAGGGTAAAAGCCAGTGGGGAAAGAGAAAGAAAGGAGTCCGGATCTGTGATTCTGCAACTGAAAGAATTGTTAAAGCCACTGTCTGTGAGGAAGGTTAGAACAGAACCTGAGACAGAGAGAATCCTTTCACCTGGGAGCGAGTGGCATAGTTTCTGATGACTTTTGGGTGGTCATGGGAATGCAGTTGCCTGGGAATCCTCTCTCAGAGTGGCGAGGAGAAGTGCGAGGATTGTACTGAGAATCAAGAAACAGCTTTTTTTAAAAAAAATTAACCTCCTACTTTGCTTCTTGACAATACAAATTCGGCACCATGTTAGCCTGGCGTGATTGGTGTTACCTGCCTGTAGTAATGATGATTATTGGAAAATTCTGGTTCTAGTAACTTCTTTTTGGCAAATGAGAACAAGAATCTTAATCTTATACAAAATAAATGGGCCCAGCCTTGTGGAATATTCTAGGCCCTCAGTGCACTGAACTTCTAGGAGCTGGGTTTTCAGAAGCCCTTTGTTTTTGTTTCCGCAGGATGTGTGAGACTGGTGAAGGGCTGTTTATCTTCCAAACGCGAGATGGGGAGGCCATCTACCAGAAAGTCCACTCTGCTGCCTTGGCCATAGCTGAGCAGCATGAGCGCTTACTACAGAGCGTGAAAAATTCAATGGTACGTGTGGAATTTTTTCCTTATGATTCAGTCTGTACCCCTATGGAATGCAGTTCTGGAATCCGTGTACTGAAAAATAAGGCCAGCATTATTTGAGCAGTTGGTTTACGCCTGCACTCAGCAATGTGTGGCTTGGATTGAATGCTATCCTTGGAAAGCCTGAAGCAGCCAAGCGGTAGCACAGTAACCATACATCCCTGTCTGTCTACTTGGTGTCTTAATTATTGTGAGTGTGTCTTAATCAGTTTGGGACCCTACAACAGTACCATAGATTGGGTGGCTTATAAACAATATAAATTTATTTATTTCTCACTGGGAGGCTTGTAAGTCCAACATCAAGGTGCTGCCAGATGCTAAGACAGGTGGGGCCCACTTCCTGGGTTCAAGGATGGCCATCTTTTCTGTTTCATATGATGGATGGGATAAGGGAGCTCTGTGGGGCCTCTTTTATAAGGGCACTAATTCCATTCATGAGGCTCCACCCCCATGACCTAAACACTTCCCAGAGGCCTCACCTCCTAATGCCTCCACCTTCGGGGATTAAGGTTTCAATTTAGGAATTTGGGGAGGGGGCATAATCCATTCAGTCCATTGAGTATGTACAAAATCAATTTGGATGTGTATGGACATCTTTGGGACCAACTATGTGGATTATCTACCTACAGACGTACATTTGTAGGTATATGATATGAGAAGTTATAATTTCAAATGTCAGTAGGGGACAAAGAGAAAATGTAAGTGAGAGATAGGGTTGAGGGGAAAGAGGGTGCAAAATGTCAAAAGCCCAAGACCACATGCCTGTTGACATGAGACTGGGGGCTCCATGTAGGATATCTCTTGATATTTTTCCAGAGAGGCCACAGATTTGTGTCTGTATATAATGTCTTCCTATGTGCAACTTTTGGAAATCAATTCCAACTAAAACTAACAACAAAACAGGAATACTTTGTGGGCCAAAGAAAACCTGTTCATAAACTCCATCCTGCCCACAGCCATGTATTTGTTATCTCTGGTTGATAAACCTTAATAGTCATGGATATATAAAGACACCACAAATACAAATACACATGAGCATACATAAACTCTGTCAGGGAACACCTACTCCATTCATTACATGGTGCTAGGGACCATGAATTATATAGAGAATTATGATTCATGAATTTCTTCTTTAAGGAGAATAAATCCACCAAGTCTTAATGAATGTGCAACAGTGAAATAATGCAAATCATGCATTTTAGTCATGGCTGCAAACACATGCAGAACAGCTTCCCATCTGGAAGGAAATCTGCAAAACCAAAAAGAAGAGAAGAGTCTTGGGAGGATTAGATTAGGGTAGTTTGAAAATTTATGACTGAAACATGTGGGATGGTTGAATTTAAAGCAGTGGAAGAGCATGCCAGTAATATGAGCTGTCCCACAGCAGCCCTGGATTATTCCCAAATGACTTGTGTATGCACTGCCCTGGGATCATAGAGCGGTGATCAGCAAAATTTTCTTTAAAGGAACAGATGATAAATACTTTAGGCTCTGTGGACTGAGATGGTATGGGGAAAATGGAAGTTCGTATGGCCAGGATCCTCACCTGACCCCCTGACCTACTTGATGGTGTACTTGGACTACTGCTAGACTAATGCTTCCACACCCATAGGCAATAAGCTATTATTGACTGAATATATATAGAGTCCTGCCCAGTGCTCTGGGCATAGGCAGAGATGGAGGTGGGTCACGACTTGCAGACTGCTGGATACAGACACGATTCTAGCACTCAATATACCGCCAGGAGAACAAAGCCGTGTAATGAACCCTTATACCCCAGGATCATTCCGTTGTCATTTCTCAGTCTCACTGAGCCATGGTCAACTTGCCTGGGGCTGAAACCCTCAAGCAAGACTGATGGTCTCTGTTGCAAGAACTTAATTCTGTGTGTAGTGCAAAAGTATCCAAAGATAAAACGTGATCAAATGGATATGACTCTTTTCCAAAAAAAACTATTAATAGACTGTTAAAATTATTAAACTATTGAAATTCAAATTTCATGTAGTTTTCACATATCAATAAATATTCTCCTTTTGTTTTTTTCCCCCAGATGTTTTAAAATGAGCTTTTTGAACTAATGCAGTCTCGGTATATGTATTTCCTCTTATGCCTGGGTATTGAAATAGAGATAGAAAAATGGATGGGTGGCTGGATGGATAATTAGCTAGAGAGGTAGATACATAGATAATAGTTAGCTGTAAAGTGGAAGTCACTTTGAACTTAATGTCATTGCATTAAAGTTGTGCAGCTGTCCCATTAGATGTCTTTATAAACATCTGAACATGTTATTCCACTATTACCTTATTGGTAAAGCCGTCAATTAGCATCAGTTGTTTTGTGCTTGAAAGGCAGGTTCTGCACACACATGTTTTTCCATTTACAACCTCATTTCTTCCGCTAAAAATTAATCATGAGTGTGAGTAATTCGTTCAGATCATCCCTTTGCAAACTTAACTAGAAAATAATGTTGTTTGCTCTTAATTTGCTGTATGCTTAACGAGTTCCATGAAATGAATGTGATTTTTAAAACAACAATATCCAGTTTTAGATGGAAATGAGTAGGCTTCAAAATGGGATCTGCCTCTCAAGGAAGTTAAACTAGGGATTGTGAAATGCTTAATCAGTGTGCTTGCATCAATTCCTGGTTAGAGGACACGAAAGATACTATGTGAAAATGAAACAAATGAAGACAACAGTGCGGTCCCACCTTCCCTGGGTCACAGTTTACAGTTTTCTGGTCATTGGGCATGGATCTATGCAGACTTGGCTGTATTCTCCACTAGAAATCATCTTTATGCTTCCTGCTTTGAGGTAGTCAAGGTCATAAATGGAGAAAGATGGTGAAGCTCATCTCTGGGCTTAGCCTTGTTATTAGGAAGCCCCACCTAACCCATCTCCTCAAAGAGGTCTACATGCTAATCCCTGGAACCTCTGGATGTTACCTTATTTGGCCAAAGGGACTTTGCAGATGGGATCAAGTTAAGGACCTCAAGATATGGAGATGATCTTGGATTGTCCAGATGGGCCCAGTGTAATTCCAGGAGTCCTTAAAGAGGGAGGCAAGAGGCACCAGGGTCAGAAGGCAGTGTGACGGTAGAAACAGACACAGAGAGAGATGGGAGGACTGTGCAGATGGCTTCAAACGGTGGAAGATATGACCCAAAGGAGCTTAAAATTTGTTACAACAGCCATAGGAAATTAATACAATAAAAATAATGTATCATGTCTGTACTCTGTAAACTGCAAGATGTTAATGGATTTCTGGGTACTTCCTAATGCTCACATTGCCCTTGTATTGAGGTCCCAAGGCCACCAGCTTAGAAGTATTGGGGCTCAAATTTAGGGCAGACATGCTGGGATAACCCCCACCTCACTCTGCATCTCTTCGTCAAACCCCTGGACATGCTTTCTTTGCCAGGCATGAGACAAGCTTACTGCCTTTCTAAAAATGACAAATCAGTGGCCAACATTTAGAAATCAAGAGGTTTCACATAAAACTTGGATTTCTGTATTATCTTGAAAAGTGGGAAGGTCTGAAAGCACCGATCTTACATCCCTACATGGCAACAATCAGCTATTGCCAGTAGAGGCTGCCATTTTTAGATGGAATGAGGGTCTTTAGTTTTCCACAGTCTCTACCTCTCCCTATTGTCACTCTCAGCAAACAGTCCTTTATCAGGACATTGGCTACCCATGCTGTGACCAGTGTTGTCTTGCTTATATCGCTGCATATATTAGCAAAGTACCAGAAACTTTACACCATAAAACAACACACATCTATTGTCTGCTTGTTGCTGTGGGGCAGGAGTTTGGCCACAGCTTAGCTGGGCCCCGGGCTTCTGTTTTTCACAAGGCTGAGGGGCTCCATGCCCAACCCAAGGTTGGACATGGGAGGATCTACTCACAAGCTCATGTAGTTATGGGACGAATTTGGTTTCTGTGGCTGTAGGATGCAGGGCTGCAGTTTTTTGCTGGCTGTTGCATGGAGACCATCTTTAACTCCCAGAGGCCACCCTAAGTTCCTTGCCCATGAGCGTCCCCCGCACGGCCACCTACTTCATCAAAGCAGGAGGGAGTCTCCTTGGAGGGTGCCGGCCACAATCCTATGTATTGCAGTCATGGACGTGACATCCTATCACCCTGCTGCAAGCAAGCCACAAGTCCCTCCCACAGTCCGGCAAGGGGGCCACAAAGAATGTGAGCATATAAAGGAGATCATGGGGCTACTGTTGTGGTGTCTGTCCCCCCACTGTGCAAACTTCTGGGATAATATTTATTTAGTACTTTGATTTTACCTTTTTAATCTTTTTCCTACTTTAGGTGTTTTGCTAATAAAACCATGAGTTACTGAACATCTGCTCTGTGCCAGGCTCTTCAGTAATGACAGCCACTACCGTGGATCAGGCCTTTTACAGTATGTCAGACACATTACTTCCTTTTTCTCTTATCTCCACAATAACTTGGTGAGGTAGAGTCATGCGTTCACTCATTCATTCGTTCATTCAGAAGTGTTTATTGAGGGCCTCATATTCTCTGTTATATGCTCTAGGACATATTAGCAAATAGGTGAGGAGACCCATGCTCCCAAAAGGTTTACAATTCAATTGAGAGTTACTCATGACCCTAGACCTGAAAGGAATCACCGTCTCTTATCATATAGACGGGACAACTGCCCCTCAGAGTGGCTGCATCACCTGCCTGCAGCCGCAGAGTTCATTGCCCCTGGAGCCAGCCACTCAAGATCTGGTTTTATCTGGTTCCTGAACTGCTACCTGTGGTCACATCGCCTTAATCCCTTGAAGACTTTAAAGCTTTTCTGTCCCTATTATGTCCCCTCTAAGAACTGTCTCGGTGTTTTGAGATTACCTGGAATATCAAAGTACTCTAAGAAAATATCTATCGGCTTTAGAGTCTGTCCGAAAAGATGGCTGTTACGAGAAATCCCGTCTCTTTTGCTGGTTTTG